ATATATATATATATATATTTATATATATATATATAGTGTGTGTGTGTGTGTATTTATTATAGTATATATAAACATACAACTCATTACAAATATAGCCTTTTCTCAATTTTTAATGGCTATATAAATATGTATACCCTTAAATATATTGGTATGATAAAGTTTGAATATATGAAACATGAAACATACAGTCCTAAACATTTAATCAAAACGTTTTACCTTGCATTCAGTATTTTCCACTTTTCTCTAAAAAATTTCCAGGCAAGATCTCTTCCATGTGGATTTCTAGCTACATGGATTATGACATCTATTGCATCCTGATCCAGGACAACTTCTGAATTAAGAGACAGGTTAAGAAGCCTTGAATAATAGGAGAAAGGGGAAAAAATGTTTAGCTTTTACCAACATAAATATTTTAACATCATGCTATTCAACATCTTGAGATTGCTAGATTCTAATTGAAAGTCATTGCAGCCCTTTCAATGTCTATTTATAAAATACAGAAAACAAACTAAATTTTGAGACAGAAAAAAAAAAGCTTCCTTCTGTTGACCTACACTTGACAGATATTTGGTAAAAGTTAAAATTAATTGCTTGATTGTAGGCTTCATGAATGCTACTCTGAGGTCATACTTTTTAAAAATTATTTTCAAGTTAATATAGAACAAATGAATTGGAATAAATGCTAAGCACATACAGTATTGAAAACTTTCTCATATTTTCAGAAGAAAATAAATAAGAAGAAAAAAAAGGAAGTACATAGATGAAGAATATTTAATCTCTGGGACAAAATTCAGACCACAAATGCTATTACTTCTACTGATAACAAGACTGAGTCCAAAAAAACAAGAAATATAAACTAAATTAGCACACCTGTTTAACAAATTTCTGTCATCACTACAGGTTAAAGCTTCTAATAATATTTTCTTCTCTGATACTGCTGTTGTTGAGTGGAATTTCATCCAGATGAATTCCCAAACATCTTCATCCATCAGTGAAACTCCTGTGCAGTAGACGATGTCTCTTACATTTGGTGGTATTCTTTAAAAACATATAAAACCACAACAATACTGTATTTGTAATATATTCAATAGACATAACATACAAGCTAAAGTTCTGTGTCACTGACAATTTTCCTGAAGATGGAGGGAGTTTAAATGTTATGGTGGTGGTTCCATTTCTCAAATTTAGCATTTTTAAAAAATCTTAAAATGTGGCCACAGGAAGAGAATAAATACAGAGCAAAGCTGAAATGGAGGGTGGTAATACCCTGACTAAAATTCTCAAACTATTATCTGTATAAGTAAAACTTAAACACACAATTTTTATATTCTTTGTGAGACTGTTAGCAGCTTTGACAGGATGGGAAGGAGGTATGAGAAGATTTGAATTGGCCTATGAAAAAGTGTTAGATACATCATGACCAGAACTGAATGCCCTCATTATGTAATGTCTAAATTAACTGAAAAGACCATGCAGGCTTAGTTGACAGGACTAACCTATTTTCTCTTGCTCTTGCTGCAGAATGTATAGGAAGAACAAGGTCTGTCTCTGCTACTGTGTCAAGGTAATTATGACCACTCATTCCTCAATTTTTCTTATGATGGAAAAGAGTAAGTATTAATTTTTTCTTAACCAATCTCTGTAATGCATGTGTGCTTATGTATTTATTTCTGATTGCTGCAACAGCTCTGGGTGGCTTACAAGAATGTAGATAAACATATACAATGCTAAAACCATGTAAGATTCTGAAGCAGCATTAAAATTCAGTGCTAAAACTGTTAAAGCTCTAAAACTGTAAAAAAACCCAAGATAAAAAGATAGATTTAAGGCCTATTTTGAATTGTAATAAGGGCCAACCTCAACTCCAATGACAATTTATTTGACAGTACAGGCAAAAATGACGTTAAACAGATTTGTATCAGAACCTTCAGAATTTTGACTTCATTGAGGACCAAAGAGTGTGGGATGAACTTTACGGCATTAGGTGGTCTTGCAATAATCTGGGCTTAAGCTATGTAAAGTCTTAAAGTAAATACCTTGAGTTGGGCCTAGAAATCAACTGGCAACCAAAGGGTCTGTTTCAACAATGGAGGAATGTGGCATTTACTAGGGGATACTATCTATCCAAATCAAACTTCAGGTTCTTCTTCCACATCCAGTCTTTTACCATACCAAGACTCTTGAGAAATCCAATCTTGAGGCCATTGGAAAGGACAGTATGGTCAGCAACCAACTCCAAATCTGTGAATGATCCTTCCCAGATTCATATTAAAAAACATACAAAATAAGATAGTACCCTGTGGGATCCACAAGACAATTCCTAAGAATATGAGCAGACATACATTCGACATCATGTTTTGATACATACATTCGACATCATGTTTTGATAGCACCCAAAGAAATAAGAGCAGAAATACTGCAAAGCAGCATTCTCAACTCCCAGGTAATTCATGTTCTGCAAAAGGATACAGTAATCAACAACATCAAAAGATGCTAAGAGAACCATAATATCAACATAGTCACACACACACACACACACACACACACACACACACACTTCTTTCCTGGTATCCAGCATGCATCGAAGTGACAAAGGCTATCTCTGTGCCAAATCTAATTTGTCAAGAATCTTGATCACAGTTTCAAACTTGCAATCATTTTCAACTGTCCGCAACAATACATAAATACATTCTGTTGGGTATGAATCTCTTGGCTGGCAAAGTCTCCCCCAAAAGAAAGCAGAATTGTGCTATGCTTATTTCAGTGAGTGTAACAAATGAAGTGAGAGGATGATGATAAAAGGAGAATACCAGCAAACCTGTGGCCCAGAACAATAGAAAACTCCTCACTCACCACACATACAGTAGAGTAATCTCTGAAATTAGGGCAGCAGTTTGCCATTTTTGGCCAAGCCCTGCATATCACCTCTGAGGCTACAGGAGAGCACCAGATGATTGATGGAAATATAGAAAGTTGTGGCATTCATTGTGATCATCGAAGATGATAAGGCCAATGGCTCTGGACTGAGAAGAAAGCATGGCTTCACACCCAGTTAGGCCAAAGGGGGAGTGCACTCATAGTCTTGCATCAAGTGGCCAATCATGGCCTGCTACTTCCCACTTGACAGCTATGGATGACCAGAACGGACTATCTACTCCCCCACTATCAAAGTATGAAAGTCTTCATTCTTGTGTCCCTTGGGTTTATGAACTTCATATGGCAATTGTGATGATTGAGACCCCTGATCTATTTAAACAACCTCCTTTAAGAGTCCCTAGTGTCACTGAATTTTCTACAGGTTGACTAAATATGAAATATTGGACTCTGGGGTATAGTTGTTCAAAGTGGCTGAGTCTCAGGATGGTTTCTTTAACAAACACTTTGTTGTTGCCTCCTTTTTGATGTATAAAACTCTGCCTCCCACAGAGAAGCCCTAATAATCTCAGAAGTCATTGGCAGAAAGCAGTCTTTATAAACCAGGCTATACAATCGTTCTTCTAAGAACTTCTGAAGTATATTTGCAGTTGTTCAGTTTTAGACAATCTGCTACTTGACATGCATTGCTTCATTTCTTCAAATGACTGTACTGCTCATTCTTTCATTCTATCATTTCAAGCCCTCCATAAAGTCTGCATTTTGATAACAAAGACCTATGCTATCTGAACATTTTACAGAGTGTGACCTCCTTCCCCTTCTCCTCCTCCTTGTTTATTATAGCCACCCATCTCCAAAAGACTCTGGGTGGATGACAGGGGCTCCACAAACACAGTGATCCCAGGCCTGGGAACAAAAACAGGTCTCAAGTGCCTTCCAGAAGCCCAAGAAAGTGGGTGTCATACACATATCTGGGGCAATGCTATTTCAGAGGAAGAGACTGAGACAGAGAAGGCATGCTTCCTCAATCCCATAACATGATAATGTTTAATTGAGGAGACCTGGAGCACACCCACTCCGCCTGAATGTACTGGGCAGATAGAAATAATTGGAGACAGGCAGTCCCACAAATAATCAGGCCCTATCTGATGAAGGGCTTTATAGGTGATGACCAGCACCTTGAACTGTACCCAGGAGCCACCTGGTAGTCAATGCAGCTCGTGTAGCAGCAATGACACATGGGTATAATGAGAATTCTCATTACTGCTTGTGCCACTGCATTTTGAACCAGCTTTATCTTCCAGATGGTCTTTGAGGGCAGCCCCATGTAGAACACATTGCAATAGTCCAGATACAAGGTGTCAGTAAACAGCTGAAGGGTCTTTCAGTTGAGGAACAGATGCAAGTGTCACACAAGATAAACTTGGATAAAGACCCTCTTCGCCACAGCTGCCACCTGTTCATCAAGCAGTTGCTGAGAGTCCAGGAGGAGTGCCACACGCATATCTGGGGCAATGCTATTCCAGAGGGAAGGGACTGAGACAGAGAATGCATGCAGTCCCTGCTATTCTGCCAGTCTGACATACTCTACTGGTGGGATGAACTCCGCAATCCTCCATGACTTCCAACCAATGCCCTGCTGTCAAGCTGAAGCCTCATACCAGACCCATCCAAGGGATCTGGGCCCACCAATAAACAGTCCACTGGAAGGACACCACAAGCCAACACTTCCAGCCTCTGTGCTCTAAAGTCCCTTCCGAGTCACCCCGTAGCAGCCTTCACTTGGACACCACTTCCATTTGCCTTTACCAGTCCTGAGCTCAGTGAATTCACCACTGCTGCCACTGCTGGCTGAGCTGCTGCCCCCACCACTGGTCCTGAAGCCAACTAGGCAGTCAGGGATACAGCAACACACAATGACCCATGAAGCTTAAACTTTGGTTGAAGAGCACTGGGTACTAGGGCCAAGGGGAGCAAGAGCATTGGGCACAGGGAAACATCTCATCCTGAGCTACCAACTCACAAAAATCTCTTTATACCTTTTTAAACATGCACACCCATCAGCCTACTACTAAAAGAACTTCCGTCAGATTGCCATCTTCTCAGGTTGATATAAACATGATGCAAGTGTACCAGTGCATAACCTGAGAAGATGTACTATTTCCTAAAATAAGAAGTTTGGCCCTCAAAACTTTATTTTATGAAAACCAGGTTCATTATCCTCAACAATCACTCAATTATCTCTTGTTTCACACGACACAAATTATTTGAACAGCAACAATATTAGCAATATTTGAAGCCATAGGTAGGTCTCACTGAGGAAGGGATCATACAACACAATGATGTAACAATCTACATCCTATTTAATTTTTATGCATGAACTACTTTACACTAGATCTATACATCTTTTTAAGATTTGAAATACTTTTCAAAATCTATAGAATATATTTTGCTACATCCAGAAATAATAAAGCAATTAATCAAAAGCACACAACCCTAGCAAGCAAAGTATACTGTGTACAGCAATCCTAATGGGGGTGGGTGAAAATCCTAATGAAGAGGTATCTTTTTTGTTACAAACTTATGCTAGCCAGGGAAAAGGGAGGTATCTTTGCTAAGCTTTTATACCCAATAGATGTACTGCTGCAGGCTGATGGACTCATCCAAAATCTTCTTAGTTAATTTTTCCCATAGCAAAAATCAGTGCCAGTGAAGAGAATGTCTGCCATAATCTATGTCCTCCTGGACAGCCATATGAAGGTATTCTTCCATACATTTATCTGGTTGTAAGCTCATTATGAACACAATGAGACTTTTGAGCAGTGAGATTTAAGCATTAATGCTACCCAATTAAAGTATTTGTTATGTTAAAATCCTCCAGCTCTATTTATCTTCATTCATTTTTTAAAGGTAAAGCTATGATGAATACTTCACAATTACTAACTTCTGAAAGCATTATTTGAAATGAATTTTATTTGAACAGTGTTATGATTTGTTTGACCTTATTTATCTTGCTTAAGAACCATGGTAAAAATAAAATATGTTGTAAGCGTGGCTGCTGATTAAAAATTAAAGAGTTTCAGAAAATGTTAAAAAATAGATAGAAAAATAATTAAAATCATGCTATGCTCTTCAAGAGAAATCTATTTTTCCAGTGATTTATA